TTTTTTAAGGATTAAACACAAAAAAATCTTAATGGATTTTTCTAACCTACGTCTTCTGTGCACATAATAAGAGTATCAAAAAAAATAAAAATTTAATTTTTTATAAAATAAATAATTAAAATAAATAAATAATAAAATTAAAATTTTTTAAAAAATATCTATCTAATTAAAAAGCAATTATTTTAAAATAAAATTTAAATAAAAATAACAATAATTTTAAAACAAATAATAATAATAATAATAATCTATTAAAAACATCCTATTTTCTCTTTCATTACTTTCAACTCAAATATATTGTATGAGATTAACAAAATGGCAATTTGGAGGCAATAATTATTGAAACCGTGTTTTGGTTGCTCTGATGAATTTCCTTAGCTACAAAGGTGGGATGGCTCCTGTGGGGATCGATGTTCGATGTAACTCTCTATTGACCACATTCTTGTGGGTTCCTAGTTTTAGTTCTTGACTTTGACTCTTGTGTGGTGAGTATTAGGATCAATGTTTTTGTACCCGGCCCGGTGGCTGACCTGTTTTGGCCACCGGGTCTGGTTCAACCGGTTGAACCAGTTCACCCGACCGGTTCAACCGGTTGACTAAAAACCATTTTTTTTTTTTACATTTTTATACCCGAGGCAAATGCAATTTATGCAAATGCAAATCTGTTTTGTCAGTGGAAGAAGGAGAGGAAGGGCAGCGGCGAAGGGCTGAGATCCGGGGAAGCAGTTGTGGAGTCGCCGAAGGCTGAGATCGGGGAGGCAGTTGGCTGCCGGTGACTTCACTACTCTGTTTTCTTTCTGCTTTCTGGCTGCTTCTGCACGGAGATGAAGCTTGCTTTCTGGTTTTGCTTCTGCACGGAGATGAAGCTTGCTTTCTGGTTTTGCTTCTGCAGAGACAAAGGACTGGAAGCCGCAGACGGAGGCCACGAGCAAGCAGCAGGTTCGCCATTTCTGGCTGAGATCCGGGGAGGCAGCTGTGGAGTCGCCGACGGCTGAGATCGAGGAGGCAGTTGGCCGCCGGTGACTTCGCTGCTCTGTT